AATTAATAATAATATAAAATTAATTAATTTATATAATTATAATATATATTAAAATAAATTGAATTATGTATATTTTATTATTTCTAATAGGAGGGGGTAAGAAAATATTATAAAAGTTGAAGGGTTAAAACTGAAAATATTAAAGGGTTAAAACTGAAAAATAAATAAATTGAATTAGGTGTATTTTATTATTTTTAATAAGAGGGGGTATAGAAATGATAGGAAAAAAAATAGTAGGAGGGGGTGGAGATAGAATAACCCTAAAACTAATGTCAAACTTTGCACCAAGAAATGAAGACAGATGAATATGGAAGATGCAGATACCTGTCTCTTCCATCCTACCAATCCGCCATGTTATCTTAACCTTGGAGACGACCTGATTCTTTCCAACATGCTAACCAAACCTAGAACCTGTTTCATCTCTGGGTCAATATGTGCATCTGACCATCGATTCACCTGATTTGTTGACCCCTCTTCTCCATTTCTCCCAAAGGGGTCGTCAGATTCGGTTTGTCATTGGTCTGATTTATCTGAATTATCATATCTTTAGGAAATTTGGAGAGAGATTAAGATGTCGACAGAGATGGCTAATACGGATCCAGAGGGAATCGATGGTGTTCGTATGACATGGAATGCATGGCCTCGCACAAAAGTTGATGCAAGCAAGTGCGTGATTCCAATTGCCGCTTCGATTTCTCCGATTCGTCCTCACCCACACATTCCCAACAATCCTTACGCACCTCTTCGATGCAAGACCTGTTCTGCTGTCCTCAATCCTTTCTGCCGAGTCGACTTCTCGGCCCTGATATGGATCTGTCCTTTCTGCTTTCAACGCAACCACTTCCCCCACCACTACTCCGGTATTTCTGAAACCAATGTCCCTGCAGAACTCTACCCTCAATACACCACCATCGAATACGTAATCCCCACCTCCGATATCCATCATGCACTTCCTCAACCCGTTTACGTATTCGTGCTTGACACGTGTATGATCGAGGAAGAATTAAGGTTCGCGAAATTGGCGTTACAACAGGCGCTTGAATTCTTGCCGGAGAATGCTTTGGTGGGTTTTGTTTCCTTCGGGACGCAGGTTCAGGTCCATGAATTGGGGTATTCTGATGTATCCAAGGTTTATGTGTTTCAAGGGTCGAAAGAGATGACTAAAGATCATGTTCTAAATCAACTGGGACTCCTTGGCGGTGTTGCCAGTGGCCGGAGAGTTGGTGGTGGGACAGGGCAGGGTTTTCAGAAGGGGGTAGCACATGGACACGGAGGGGGGTTTCCGAATTCAGGGATTACCAGGTTTTTGTTGCCTGCTTCTGAGGGTGCATACATCATCCATTCGGTGAGTTGTATTATGGTCTTGATTTCAAGTTGCACAACTGTGATGTTATATCATACTTACCAAACGTAACAATTCAGCGGGTGGAAGACTTAGGTACGGATAAATGGCCTGTTGCACCTGGTCATCGATCATTGAGGTGTACTGGACTGGCATTGAGTGTTGCATCAGGTTTGCTTGGGGCATGCTTGCCTGGTACTGGTGGCCGTGTAGTAGCTTTGGTTGGTGGCCCATGCACTGAAGGCCATGGTTCGGTTAGTTCTTTTACTTTTCCTTTCACAGGTAATTTAATTGCAAAACTGTTTATCATTTGGTTAGCATTCAATCTTAGCAGAAGAGCTACTATTAATCTGGTATGCCATCAACAATGTACACCTTCAAAGTAAACATTAATTTTAGTCAAGATGTGGCTGAACTCACTCTATGTTTGAGGCATTGATTACATCAAGAATTGGGGCTAAAGACAAGTCAAATGCTCTAAATTAGTCCTTGTCATATATAGTTGTGACAATTCGATTTGGCACAAGACAATGTATGCTAAAAAAATAAAAAGAACAGATAAGAAAACACCTAGAAAGGAGAAACAATAAAATGATGAAGTATCAAAGGACTTTTTGACGAATGTTAGTTAAATAACAAACCACTTTCAGATCCTAGTTGACATGAACATTTCTTTGAATTTCATCAATTATCTCATCTTGCTCAATACAGCAAAACAGAAGAATGCCACAATTTGCAGTAGCTGTCACACATATTATAACCTAATTAAAATGAATGATATTAATTTAATTGAACAAAAAAAAGGGTTGTTATTTTAAAACTAAAAACAAATTCAAGCCAATTAACCAATGCAACTACATATATAGACTCCAAAGTTCAACTACTAGACTATTCCTGTTTCCCTTGGGGAGTTGGGGGTATAGAAAGGAGATCATAAGAAAATGATGTGTGAAATTATTCAACTGGAGGAGAAAAGAATCTGAAGTCGGTATTTGGCTGTTTATGGCCAACATCCTAAATTCTGACTAGACTTGGATAACTAGCAGGGTTTCCACAGACAATAAATTAAGGCAATGGTTGTGAGAATTCAGAAGAAAAGTAGATTGGCATCCACACTCAATCCAACAGATAATGGTACATTATTAGTCAGCAAACAACACAGAATGTTAACCTTCAATGGAACAAACTAGATGTTAGTACTGCTATCTTCTTGTTGAGCTGGTAACATCGGTGCATCAATTTTACTGATAATGCAAGCTAATCACTTACTAGGATTTTTGCTTGTTAAATATTATGTATTGCATTTCACAAATAAAAATATAAAATTGAATTATGGATCACAACATTTGACACTAGCATAAAAAACTTGGTTCTACATTTTTTGTCTAAACATTTAGATGGATATGTAGTTTCAACGTCTCATCTGAAATATTTTTGTGCATTTGGTTAAAAAGTTAAGAGTTCATCTACAGTGTACTTGCCTCTAGTTTCCTGTCTTGTCCGAGTCCTTTTGTGCACTCTTTTATTTTTACGCCTTTTTTTTTTCTGATGTCACTTCCTCACAATTTCCAAGCTTTCCTTGCTTTCTGTTTGTTTAGGTAACTATTTTTGGTTCCTTTCTAAACCTTTAAGATATTTCATAAACCAGAAGTCTTTACAGAAACAACCTCTCTATCCATAGGGGTAGAGGTATGGTATGTGTACATTGATAGAGAAAGGAAAAAAATGAGAGAAGGCGACAGAGAGTTTAGGGAAGAGGTAAGCTGATGTAATTATGAAAAAAGAAAAGAAATACAACATGATCCAAGGAGAATCCCTCTCTCAATGCAACATGCAAAGAGCCAATACAACTGAAAATACTAATGACATGCATAATACGTATCCCCTCCTTCCCTTTTAAAAGAGACTAATAACTAACTTTCTAGCCACTTTCCACAATTGCTCTTTTAGCCCTTCTAGAATAGACTTTCCACTCTCTTGGCTTATTCTCATTAGACTTAATGATTTTTGGGTTCGTATCACCACTCCCGCCATCAAATAAAGTCTTGTCCTCAAGACTTGTATCTGGAAACTGACTCCGAATCGTCACGACATCCTCCCATGTAGCCTCTTCGATTGGCAAACTCTTCCACTGAATGAGCCATTGATAGACGGAGCTTTGGAAATCATTTACTGCACGAGAAACCAAAATTGCCACTGGAATAAGCTGATCAGAAGTGCCTAATTCCAGTTCTAGGGTTAACACCTAATCGCTCTTCAATCACCGCTTTCTTAAGTAACGAAACATGAAAGATGGGGTGGACCTTCCAAGAGGGAGGCAAATCCAAACGATACGCCACCGGACCCATTCTTTCTAGAATTTTAGAAAGGCCAAAAAAACGAGCAGCAAGTTTATGATGAATACGCGATATGACCGACATTTGGTGATATGAATACACCCATTCTCCTTCCATAAAGTCCACCTCTCTGTGCTTTTTGTTCGCTTGTGCTTTCATTGTTGCTTGGGCCTGAGCTAGGTGGAGTTTGAGTTGTTTTAAAGCCTCATACTGGTCATGAAGTTCCTGAATTACGACCTGCACACGTATCTCTCCTGGAATAAATTGAACGACAGATGGTGGTTTGCGTCCGTAGACCACTTCAAAGGGTGATTTTCCCGTTGAACTATGGAAGGTTGAATTCTACCAAAACTCCGCCTAAGGAAGCTACGTGGACCAAGTGCGGGGCTGGTCAATAGCAAAGCATTGTAAATAAGCTTCGATACAACGGTTAATTACTTTTGTTTGACTGTCCGTCTGTCTCTGGATTATATGCTGAACTCATAAGCAACTTTGTACCTTGGGAGTGAAAAATTTCTTGCCAAAAACGGCTAAGAAATAACGGATCTCAATCACTGATGATTGACTTTGGAATGCCGTGGTGTCTCACAACTTCACAAATAAAGATTTCAGCAACGCTTTTGGCCGTGTACTGGTGTTTAAGAACAAAATGGCTGTACTTTGACAGCCTACCGACCACTACTAAGACGGCATGAACCCTTTTGATTTAGGCAGTCCCAGGATGAAATCCATCGAGAGATGTTCCCAAATGGTTTCCGGAATGTCTAATGGCTGTAACAAACCCCTAGGTAAGGCTGCACTGGCTTTGAATCGTTGACATATATCACATTCACGAACAAACTTTTTAACGCTCTCCACCATGCCTGGCCAATACAGATTTGCAGCCAACCGTCGATAAGTACGTAATAACTGGAGTGCCCACCAGACGCAGATTGGTGAAACTTATGTAATAAGGAAGGAATAAACATGGAAGTGCGAGGAATACCAAACGATCTTTATAGAACAATACCCCCTATCGAACCGTATACCCAGTGTGTGAATTAGGATGAACTAACCAGCTCAAAGTAATTCATTGTATTTCTGTATCAGCTCAAGCTTCCTTTATTAATTCAGCCCTTGAAGCCACATTGGAGTAGAGATAAACTGAGAAATTCCCCAGAATCGACACGGCGAGAAAGCACATCATCAGCCTGATTTTCTCTACCCGGTTTGTATTGAATATCAAAGTTGTAGCCAAGGAGTTTAGCCACCTAATTCTGTTGGTCAGGGGTAGTTATGCGCTGTTGTAACAAAAACTTAAGACTCTTTTGGTCAGTGTTGACTATGAAAGTAGTACCCAGCAGATACGAACGCCAATGTTGAACGGATAAAACTAAGGCCATGATTACTCGTTCATATGCAGATTTTGCCAAATTATGATCACTAAAAGCTTTGCTGAAGTAAGCAATGGGCTGACATTGTTGCATGAGAATAGCCCCAATGCCCACCCAGAAGCATCACACTCGACAACGAAGGGTAAACTGAAATTGGGAAGAAGTAAAACAGGTGCGTGTACCAAAGCGTCTTTCAAAGCCTCAAAAGCTTGTTGTGCAACGAAAGTCAATAGAAAGGCGTCCTTTGTGAGATCGGTTAGAGGCCCAGCGATGCTCCCATAGTGTTTGACAAATTTCCGATTATATCCGGTAAGCCCCAAAAATCCCCTTAAGCCTTTAATATTTTTGGGAACTGGCCAATCGACGACCGCTTCCACCTTCTTAGGTTTCATGGCCACACCGTTGCTAGAAATGATGTTACCCAAGTACTCCACCGATGTTTGTCCAAAAGAACACTTGTTTTGGTTCACTACAAAATGGTTATGTAGTAAAATACCCAAGACAACCTTCAAATCACGTAAATGGGTATCCCAATTTGGACAATAGATTAGAATATCATCGAAAAATACGACGAAAAATTTACGTAATAAGGAACGAAAAACATCGTTCATCACCGCCTGAAACGTCGAAGGAGCGTTCATTAAGCCAAACGGCATGACTAAGTATTCATAGTGGTCATTGTCAGTCCGAAACGCTGTTTTTTCAACACTATCGGGCCTCATACGAATCTGATTATAGCCTGATTTTAAGTCCAATTTGGAGAAATAATAAGCACCGTGTAACTCATCCATAAGTTCCTCGACCATGGGAATCGGGAACTTATCTGGAATGGTAGCCTTATTGAGAGCACGATAATCCACACACATACGCCACATATTATCTTTTTTACGAACTAGAATGACCAGGCTTGAAAAAGCACTTTTACTTAGGCAAATCATTCCCAAGGACAGCAACTCACGGACTTGTCGTTCAATTTCTGCTTTCTGAATGTGAGGATAACGATAAGGTCGCACACTAATGGGTTTATGAGGAAAAATCAAAGCAATAGCGTGATCATGAGTTCAAGACGGCGGAAGACCTGTTGGAGCTTGAAAAACAACAAAAAAAGTGTCTAAAACCTTCTATAAATCGGTCAATTGAACAGAGGACAGACCTAGAGTATCGACCGGGATCGTGAATAAGGAAAACCCGGTAAGAGAATGCACCCCCGACATAGCCGTTAAGCAAGTCTGAAGTGACTCAGCAGGCGGATGGACTGAAGTTAATCCCTGAAGTTGAACAGGGTTCACCTAATGCTTAAAATGCATCCAAGCCTTATCCCAATTATGGGTGACCTCTCCCAAGGACCGTAGCCACTCCATTCCCAATACCATATCTAGATTTTCGGTATTGAAAACTAAGGGATCCACCAAAAAAGAGCAAGTACCCAACACAATTGACAGTTGATAACACATTTGATTGATAAATACTTTATGGCCATCACCCAATTGAATATTGAGACCATCAAACTGAGTTGAAGAAATACCCAGTGATTTTACCAACCAA